TATCAGATGTCCACTCTGCCATAATGGCATTAACCTATTGAGGGCTAAGCTCGTGGCCTAATCAACTCTTAAATGCCCCACTTCTTAATACTGTCACAGTGGCAATTAAATTTCAACCTTTGGAGGTTTGGAGGAGATATTCTAACTAGCATTCTGCCCCTGCCTCCCCCCACAAGATTCATGTTCTTCTCACATGCAAAATACATTCAGTAGCCCCCAAAATCCGTAGCTTGATCCAGCATCAACTCCAAGATCTGGAGTGTCATCTAAATCTCATATGGTGAGAATCAAGGTACAATTCATCATAAGGCAATTCCGCCAGCTGTGAACCTGGGAAATCAAAAAAATTACTACTAATTACAATGATGAGACATATGGGATAGATACTTTGACTCCAAAAGGAAGAAAAAGCAAGGTAACGGGTCCCAAGTAAGTTCATAACCCAACAGGGTAAACAGCAAACCTTAAAACCTGAAGAACACCAGGTGTGGTCGCTCAAGCCTGTAATCCCAGCACTTTTGGGAGGCTGAGGCGAGAGGATTGCCTAAGGTCAGGGGTTCAAGACCAGCCTGGGCAACTTGGAGAGACCTTGTCTCTACAATAAATCGAAAAATAAGCCGGGCATGATAGTGCATGCCTGTAGTTAAGCTACTTGTAAGGCTGAGAGAAAGGACTGCCTGAGCCCAGTAGGTCGAGGCTGCAGTGTTCGTGAATATGCCACTGCACTCCAGCCTGGGTGACAGAGTGAGACTCCAAAACAACAACAACAAAAAACCTGGAGAATAACCTTTGACTTTATGTCCATCTGCTGGTAGGGTTGGGCTCCTAAGGCCTCCAGCAGGCCCACCCCTGTGGCTCTGCTGGGCCTATCCCATGCTTCAGCTCTCTTGGTTTGGAATTGCGTGCTGGTAGAGCTTTAGTTCTGGGGTCTCAGTGGCAGTGCCACTACCACAGTTCCACTAGGCATTAGCCTAGTAGGGATTCTCTGCTGTGACTGTTCTTGGGCAAGTGCCCAAGAAAGAATAATGAGAGCAGACCCTCTTGCCTCGCTCCCAATCTTAGAGAACATTCAGTCTTTCACCATTAAGTATATTAGCTGTAAGTGTGATATACAATTTTTACCAAGTTTAACTTGCCGAAAATTCTTTTTATGTCACAAATAGTGTTGGGGTATATCAAGTGCTTTTTCTGTGTCAATTGATACACAGTTTTTCTTCTTTAGTCTGTTGGTGTTGTGGATTATGTTGGTTGATTTTCAAATGTTGAACCGGCCTTGCCTACCTGGAATACATCCCACTTGGTCGTGGTGTAGAATTCTTTTATATATTGTAGGCTTTGATTTGCCAATATTTTATCAATAATTTTTGTGCTTAAGTTCACGAGAGATACTAGTCTGCAGTTTTGCTTTTATTTGTTTGTTTTTGGAACTTTGTTGGTTTTGGCGTCAGGAAACCTTGCCTTATGAGTTAGGAAGTGTCCCCATCTCTTCTGTTTCCTGGAAGATGTTGTTTAAAATTAGTGTTAATTCTCCAGGCTTGGTGGGTCTGGTGCCTGGGGTACAGCATGGAGAGATGCCCATGTGTGCACAGTCAGGTGTGCAGCGCTGAGCCTTGAGGCAGGTCTGAGTAAGTCTGAAGGCAGCCCTGGCTTCATGAGCTTGAAGTTGGAACCAGAAGACTGAGCACATTGAAGCTTCCTTCCCCGCCTGTGACAATGGTTGCTCTGATTCCCCCCACCCCACTCAGGGGGATGACAGTGCCTCATTCATCCGCCTCCCGGTGCCTGGCACGGGGGAGGGAGGGGTGCTCAGTGAATTTGGGTGGTGCAGCAGCCTGCGTGGAAGCAAGAGCGTGTTTCAGAAAAGGCCAAAGACGGGCTTCCTCCCGTGAGGTGTGCCAGGGAGTGCTGCCAGGAACGGAAGGAGGCACTTTCTTCCCCCTTCCTTCTACTGCCTAGAGAAGGAGAGGGTGGAAGGGTACCGGTTTCGGAGAGCCCTGAAGGCCCATCCAGGCCACCTTGCCTTGCGCGCGCTTGCCCGCGCCATCTCTGGTTGCCATGGAGACAGGAGGCGGTTGCCGTGGAGACCGACGGCTGCGAGGACCAGCCAATCACTCCGGAGCTGCGGCTCCAGCTCACCTTTCGGGTG